CTACTGCAGTTTTCTTTTCACCTCCCTCTCCTCCTCGCAAAATGAATGCAGAGTGAATCCTGAACAAACAGAGGTGGAGACACAACCGTTGCAATGGGGTCTATGAGAACTGCAGTGCTCATACATTAGAGTGGGCCGGGACAAACATCTGGGGACAACCATTTTAAAAGACAACAGTTGAGGAATCTCTCCAAATGAGCTTCCAATGGCTGTTAGTGCTAATCATTCGCACCCCTATCCAAAAAACAAATACATTTAAAAAAAATAAAGTCCTGGCCTAAGGTGGAGGGGTTTAAAACTGTGGTTCAGGCACAGAACTGCACCTGAACACCACACAGCCCAAGTAGTAAAAAGGAGGGCCTTCACAGTATATAGGCAACTCGAAGAGAAGAGGCGAAATGTATATTTCCCTTGCTTACAGCCAAGAGTAACAGCCTGAATCTACCAGTTGCTGTTGATAGTAGAGGAACCTTTCAATTCAATTGAAAAATGTAGCAGAAAGGAAAGACATCCATTCCCTTAAGGACACTAAGCAAAAACTGAGCAGGTGTGAGGTGCAAAGGGTTAGTGCTCAAGAAAGTTGGCCTTCATTTTTCTATGTGCCTAGTGTCCATTTTTCCTGTAGGTGGCAGGATAACCCAAGTTCCTTATATAATCCAGCTGTGCCCTTCAATGGACGATAAGGGAAATTGTTTTTGCTATAGATCCCCTTTAAGAAAAGCTGCTAGCAGGCTTCAGAACTATGTGAAAATTGTAGGAACTTATTGCCCGCTAACCCGCTTAATACTCAGCACTCCCAACAAGATATCCCTTTAGCATCTTCAAACAAAAAAACTAGAAGTTTGCATTAAAAGCTTCAGTAACGCCAATCAATGAAAATGTTTGCAAACCCTTGCTGTACACATTTTCCTATACAGGCTGAAGTTTTTGTGTATAAAGCATAACTGTCCATGAAGCACCTGACTTGAAACTAAACTATTTTTGTTAAAAATGATTAAATGTTTTTTTTTAGTGTAGCTGATATAAGCACCTGGTTTCGACTTAGTCATCAGCATCCTCTAATTGCCTGTGCAGCACCAACCATAATAGCAGCATTACCAGAAGCCGATCTGCTGTGCTGCGTGAACATGTTCTTTAATAAAGGAGAGCAGTATGGGCAGATCTTCTAACAGATTCATAAATGCCCTCACAGGCATTCCAATTTAAAGACTACTGATAAAAATACCCTTGCAGTGAGGCTACCCCAACACTGCAAGAGATAACTGCTCGTTAGTGTCTAGGGGGATCCCTTAAAAGAGTTTTGCTTACCTGATCCTTGCTCTAAGACAGATGGCCGCAACATCTTTCCCTCTCTGCTATGGCAATCCATAGCCCTACACTAGGCGAGGACGCCAAGGGACAGTCCACAGCCGAAGCAAAGGAGAGAGATGCGAGAGCTGACCGCCAGAGGAGCGGGATCAGGTAAGTAAATCTGGAGTTAATCTACAGACTCATCAGAAAACAACATTTGCTTCTAAAGGTGGAGAATAATGGAGTAAAATGTACCTATACCCCACAGAAATGAATATTTAAAACATTTTTGAACTATACCACACATTACATGTATTGCAAAGGCCTGCATGGCAGGATACAAATGAATGGATAGTTTATGTAGGTCCTCATGTTACACAACTTTGTCAAACCTAAAACAGACTGCACCAAGATGGACGGGTATGGTGAGCTTAAGAACGAAGAATAAATCCAAGTAGAAAACCTTAATACCTTTGTCTCTGGGATCTGCTAGTGTGTCCTCAGCTGAACATGGGCTTTCCTCAGTACAATCATTTGATATGGTAATGAACGAAGCAGGAGATATGGATTGTGCGCGGCTGCTGCTGTTACTGCAGTCATTTCCAGGTGTTTGAGTATCTACACTCCGAAGGGAAAGTGGTGGCGGAGCACGGTGTCCATCGGGGATATCTTGTGGCTATAAAAGAAACAAACAAACATACAAAACAAAAAACAATTATGCAGATATTTCTTCTTCACCACGGTAGATAATCTAAAATTGCATCAAACACTAAAAACCTTATTGACAAAAAAAGGTCAAACCTGATGTACAGTGTTTCGCCGTTCACTACAAAATGATTGAGGGCACCTTGGGACTGCTTTTGAGACACTGCAATCAGGATTATTTAAAGGAAACCTGACCAGAAGGAAATACACAGCCTGCCACCGATTCTATAAAGAAGATTTTTGTACTTACCTTTACATTTCTACAAGTCTGCTGAGCTACACAGAAATTCAGCAATAGTCGGATAATATTGCCACCTTCAGGTTTCAAAACTGGCAAAACAGAAAAGCTGTATGCCAGCCCCTGTATAACCCCTCCTTTACCCAGTTTTGTGAGAAAGCAATAAACAGGTCTCAGTAAAAGACAATGCCAAAAAGCCACTAGAGAGGACAGAACATTCAGTGCTAGAGAAACAGGTGTCTTGGAAGGACACTGAGGGCTGCAGACACTCCTAGAGAGGGGGGCAGTAGAAGCTGGTCCCAGCAAACTCTAAGGCAGATGTCAGTACCCAGTACCACAAGGACAGAGTTCTTATGAAAGGGAGAATGAAAATCTTGATGGACAACTTCCCAAAGAAAGTTCCCACTAGAGCAGGAACATGGGGTCCCAGGATGTGGATAATCCAGGGAGGCCTGGGTAGATACACATCATATATCATAGCACTGGAACCATGGTGAGGAGCACCTAAAAGATGTTTTATCCGAGAGGCTAGCATGTGGTTTAAAAAGGATATTCTGGAGTACCCAAAATGCAAAAAGGCACAATACCCAGGGACCCATTTGGATTTATACATTTCTACATTCTTGCAGAAAAATGAATAGGGGGTGAACTGATCTCTGGCTTCAGGCCCCATGGCCTGTTAGACCTGTAAGCAGGTAGACAAGGTCTACGAATAATTACTGCCAAAGGACATGGAAGTAGAAAGGTGGAGATCTGACCTTCCACAGATCTCCAGGCAGAACACTGACTGTTTGTGGTGTTGCTAAGGACTGTGTCAAGAGTATGTCTGAAGAGACAATGGAGGGTAAATAAAAGGAGTTGATTCTTGGACATCTTTCATCCATGTTCCCCACTCATTTGTACAGACATTAGTTCCATGAGCAGCACCATTTTTAAGGCTTGTATGTAATAAGCCATCACAACTAAAGCCAAAGCCTTCAGACAATTGCTCTAACCATTCTATGAAAAGTGCACCTACCCCAGAGGTAGAAGCATCCTCTTTAAAAGGGATTCAACGCATTCTGAAATGATCAGATTAAAGTTACTGCCAATAAAGGATGGAGGGGCAACCCAGCTGATTCAAACTGCGAGCTAAGGAGGTAATTCAACTTCTTAGGAGTGAAGTACTGAAAGGTGAGAACATCTTTGACCCTTTAAGGCTGGGTTCACACCTAGGCGTATCGAATATGTGCGTTTGTCGCGCGTTTCGTGCTGCAAGTTTTTACTGCGATCCACGGTTAAAAAAAAAAAACACGCGACCAACGCGCGTTTCCGAGGGCTACCTGGCTGTATCCCAATGGAAATTCCATACACACCGCCTGAACCATTAGGGAGCATGGGCTAAGGTCACCCGTTACAGAGGGACTGTCCTCTGGGAGAAAATGCAAGGTGGTGGGCAATAAGGCCCAATGTGAGTCAAGGGCTCAAATACTCAAAAACCAGGGACAGATGGTGTTGTGAGTTTTAGGCAGCCGGAGGTGACCAAGTCACTGGAGGTGGGCAGTGGAACCAAACCAGAGACTGGAAGTCCACATGGTGTTTTAAGAGCAGGAACAGCAGTGGGATGGTACTTCCTCCAGACTGAATGGCAAGAAAGTGCTGTGCATGAATGCGACCGGTTTTACACACACACACACACACACACACACACACACACACACACACACACACAGAGTCTTCAGAGACAGGGTCACATCCGAGGCTGTGCCATGGCTCAGGATTTGGAAATCACACTGCAGCTAACACACAAGAATCTGGAAAATACCACAATGCAGAGTCCTGTACCCTAAGGTCACACTCCACGTTAGCCCATAGGGGTCCAGGTACAGCTTCCAAAGCTATTGCTTAGAAAAGGCCAATCCAGATAGCAGTTATAAAGAGACAAGCAGTGGTGTAGCAAGGAATCTTGATTGAAGACACTAAGAATAGATCTCCACTAAGCGAAGAAAGCTAGCAAGAAATACTTTTTGCATTCCAGCCTCCTAGGACACTAGCAACAAAATGTGACATGTTGGGTCTAAGGGGGAGTTGGCTTACAATTTTTCTGTTTGCCAATGTCCCAACCTCCTAAAAGTGGCAGCACAACCCGACTAATTCTAAATTCCCGTGTGCCTCAATGGAGAAAAATGAATACTAGATGTTTAGCTGCTTTAGTATCAATATTGAATGAGAACAAGTACAGCAGGACTTTGGTCTTCACTTGATGCATGTTTGCTGCAGGTCAGGGACTAAGTACTGATGTTGTAGATGGAGGTCAGCAATGGCAACCTGTGTATTACTTAGCATAGGTTTCCTTTAAAGCAAACTCGAGTCCACAGTTTGATTGACAAAGTGTGTTAAACAGGCCTAAAAGCTTTTGGGTATGTTCATAAAACTGTATATGTGACATTTACTGTCTAAATATACCCCTAAGAAAAAACAAAACAAATTAAATGTTTTATCTTAACTGCTGGGTGTGAGTGCACTGAATGTTGTTTTTTGTGCTTCAGAGTATGAGCATATGCAGCCTCAGGTTCTTTAGAAATTAAATACGAGACACAGCCTTAGAAAACTCAGGCCTCAGCATTGTTGCATGATTTGTTGTCAGGGTGATACAATTAAATGTCTCGTTTGCATACCATAAAAGACTGAAGGCTGGTGCAGACCTGGGCGATCCGGGATGCGCGTCTCAGGATCGTGCACAATTGCACACAGCGATTGACGCGCGGCCCCATTGATTTTAATACGGTTACATCCATGTTGCAATCGCAGAAAAAAAAAAAAGGTACATGTACCTTTTTTTCCTACGACACAAGACGCGCGGGTGTTTGAGCCGGGATAGTTTGATTGCACAGGTGGAATCGTGGCAGAAAAGCGTGCGATCCGCCTGGTGCGAGTGGTGTGCCATTAGAATATAATTGTACCGCCTGCGCGATTGGTGACTCTGACCGCACGGCAATCCGCGCCCTATCGGGCACCATTGCCGTCCGGTCACAGATCCCCCAGGTGTGAACCTGGCCTAAATGTTTTTAGCAATTTATGCACAGTTAGATATGGGAAATGTAAGGTATCACTAAGGGTCAGTCAAATTTAGAGGTAAACTTAACTACTCTAGGTCTACTTGAAAACAGCATATTTAAAAAAACAAAAAAAACTTCTCCGGGCATCAAACATAGCTGATTACCATCTTCTCTCAAATTGCAAGTAAAAGTGGTAAATAGTCTAGTCACTGACATTCTCAAAGTTTTTGCATGGCTGTGGCCGACTACTCTGCATTGACTAAAAGCGGAGCTCACACTGAATAAACCAGGAGAGTCGGAGACTAGTATCAAAATGGAACAAAGATTTTGTTTTTCCCTACTAAAGGGAGCCCACACGTACATAAAAATAAAACTCCTATTTACAGTCAGATCAGTAGAAATGTGTACATCTGAAGGCTCCCCCCAATTGTAGCAGAAATCCCCTGCCCCAGACTTCCTAGGGAGACAGTTGATTAGCAGGGTTGCTTTTCCTAGATTCTCCCTGAGATACGCAAGACTTGGACATGTTTGCAGAGTGCACAACAAACTGCCTCCTACCCAGGAACATCCATGCATAAGCTAAAGACGAGTACAGGAACACTAAGGCTGCGTTCACACCTTGGCATACAGAATATGCGCATTTGCTGCGTGTTTTGCGTCGCACATTTTTACCGCGATTTTCTGTAAAAGAAACGCGCATTTCAGAGGGCTATCCGGCTGTATCCTAATCAATACGCCCAAAAGAAGCTCCTGTACTTCTTTGGGCATAGGGCGTTTACAGCGCGTAGGAACGTGCTGTAAAACGCCCAGGTGTGAACCAGGCCTTAGGCTTCATTCACACTAAAAAGCTTTTCTAAACGCACCTAATGATTTTAGATGGATCTATTCACACATTGTGTTTAGATGCTTTCATCTGCAGTCAGTTTATGTGTATTTCAAAGAAATAAAAGTCAGATGCATCTAGTAATCGAATTTTAAACTTCTAAAGGCACCAAAACGCATGCAAGTACAATCGGATGCTAGGATTTGGTTCCACACACATCTAAACCCATATGCATGGAAATGTGCTTCATTTAACACATCTAGAAACACAGCAGCTACCGTGTTTCCCCGAAAATAAGACCGACACTGTCTATTTTTTTTGGCACAAAAAAAAAAAAACACACTAGGTCTTATTTTCGGGGTAGGTCTTATTTTTTTCATGTACAACAATCCAAAATTAATGCAAATCCAAATTAAATAATCCAAAATGGCAAAGTTAAGAATATGGTGATCAGGGCAATCAGGGGTGCCGTACCTTTCCGAGAGCAATTTGGTAACCAATTGCTGGCCAGAATGAGCGAAGCGCGCTTTCGCTATCAATTCCTCACACACTGAGTGCATTTGGTATCACTCAGACTGTGACTGGAGCCGGCGCTATGGAGGAAGCATCGGCTTATGTGGCTCTGCTCCCTCCGCTGCCGCCTCGCATCCTCTAGCGCTGGCTTCGTTTCACTACCGATTCTCTCCCCCTTATGCCACTACCGATTCTCTTCCCCCTTATGCCACCACCAGCCCTGGCAATGGTCACAACTAGGTCTTATTTTCAGGGTAGGTCTTATATTTTAGCAATTCCCAAAAATAGTACTTGGTCTTATTTTCGGCGAAACAGGGTAGCTAGACAGATTTTTCTCTGCAGATAGAGCACAAAACTGCAAGTGGCAAGTGTGAATATAGCATTAGGAACAAAGTTCACATTCCTGCTTATGTAGAGGATAGGTAGAAGCATGTGAACAGTGTTGAAGTTTTTTCTTCTTTTTTCAAATTCTAGTAGCTCAATGTTATGTGGCCTTTTCAGAAACAAATTGCTTAGTAACGCTTCTCTTTAAAAAGTACAAGTTAGGCCTTCATCGCAAACTATTTTGGTGTATGTTTTGGTGCTGTCCCTTATAACCTTGCGCCATTGCTGAATTAATTATGTTCCTGAACACAGCATAAAGTCAGCAGAGTGTCGGGACACCTGACATACCTATACTTGTTCCAAGTAATTGTCCAACCATGTAAAGCAGTGATCATACAGACGACAGCCCCAAAGACTCCACCAGCAAACCCAATTATTTGCTCAGTTGTCTTCAGCTTTACCATCCAACTAAGCTAAAAATACATTCGCATATGGTGAGGTCACCCCTAAAAAGGCAGAGGATCAACATGGTAGCTGGGCATTTAGCATTATCAGAAGGCGATTAACAATAATTGAACAGATGTTTCTCCTATGATAGTTTCCCTTTTAGAACTCTCAAAAAAGGTGCCAAATGTAGTTTGTTATCCTGCTACTGGGATTTTTGCTTACTTTTAAAAGACAACCTTCCGTGAGTGAAATGAGCAAGCTGGTTTTGCTTACCTCTTCTGAAAATACTAGTTACCTGGGTATAAAGATTCACACACGTGTTATAGCTTGTAATGTGTCATAGATCTAAATGGAAAACGTGTGCCTAAAAAATTTAGGGGTATACATGTAGCCTTGGATGGTGACCTGGAATAGGCACGCAGACTAAGAATTCAGAGTTCATTCTCACTTCATTGGCTGCATTCTCACAGCCAATGAGAGCCATAGGCCACTGGAGGTAACCAAGTCACTGTATGTGGGCAACGGAACAAGACCGGAGACTGTTTAACCCATGAAGTGCTTCACAAGCAGGATCAGCAGTGCAAAGGTGCTTCCTCCAGGTTGAATGACAGGAGATAGAGAGTGTAGAGTGCAACACTACCTACTGGATGAAGTCAGAACCAAGTTTCCTCAGCCTGAATTATTACCCTCTATAAGATGGTGGGAATTTAAAAATGGCTGTGCCATGGCTCTATACTTAGAAAACACTCTGTGGCATATAGTACACAAAAGTCTGAAAAGCATCACAATGCAGAGCCCAGTATCCAAAGTTCACATTCCAGTCTAGAGGCCTCCTAACTAGGGGAGTCTTCAGAGACCAGGTCACACCAAATGCTGTGCCATGGCTCTGGACCTGAAGAGTGCTCTGCTGCTTACAGTGTCACATTCCAGGCTAGCCCCACAATGTTTTGGTCCAGTGGGGATTGGGTACAGCCTCCAAAGCTATTGCTGAGTATATGTTAATCTGAATAGCTGCTGTGTAGTGACTAGCTCAAGCAAGGTTAAGTCTTAATTGAAGACAGAAGAAGAAAAAATATTAGTATAGAGTATCTTGATTAAAGAAATAATAAACAAGTAAAACAAATATAGTTCGACTTAATATCAGCAAACCGGAAGTAAAGGGTTTCAAACTTCTAGGATACCAACAAACCTGAGGCATGACGGTTGCAGGCAGGGTTATACAGGGCTGGCTAAATGTTGGTTTGTTTGCCAGTTTCCACAACCCACTGTAGGCGGCAGAATAAAACTTACTAAATTCCTGTGTCCCTCAAAAGGAGAAGAAAAACCCCACCAACCCTTCACCAAAATGATTGCCTTGACCATCTGATGATTAAGATTGGCAACTTCCAGTTTTATTACTACAGTGGTCTTTTGGAGGCTTAACAGTTATAGGCCAGTGTGAAAATTAGCAAATAAGCAGGTTTTTGTCAGAAAAATGTGATTTACCAGCAAATCCAAGGATTCAATCATCCCTATTTCTTAAAGTGTATTTAGACCCCAACAATGAACTCATCATTTCTCCATTTGGCCTACTAAATATAAAAGGGATATTATAAAAACACTTTTAAAAAGGTATAATTGTGAAATAATACCTGTTGATTCTGCCAGAAATCTTTTGACCTGATAACTTCCTGTACTCTGTGCACAGGAAGGGGTTCCGTAGGGGGAGGCGGGGGGTACCAGGGGATAACTAGTGGACTGTGTTTGTGTTCTTAGTAATGCTTCAGATATAAAGTAGGTAGGGCTGTGCTGTCATGTCAATGAGGTAAGTAGGGGGAACACTACATTTCTAGCACATAAACAGGCATTTTTCTGTTTTTTCAGTGAGTTTAAATAGATTTATTTTAAAAATGGGGAAATTTGCATGTATTGCAGAGCTGTACATTTGTATATATATTTTTAAAAATTTGCCTTGAGATATGAATATGTTCTTCAGGTTTTAGAAAATCATAAACATGTTCTTTCTAAATGTAGGTTTCAGTTGGGGAGGGTGCTCTCCGCACACCTTACAGCAATCCCGGCCAGTAAGAACGATGGTGCTTGTAGTAACGAAGAAGGATGGCACCGTGCAAAGTACGAGATGAAGAAACAGGTCACCAGCACTCAAATTATTTAAATAGATATGTCCTTTTTAATGGACAATTGTGTCACAATCAACAAAGCCGACGTTTCGGGGCCATCCTTCTGTGACAATTGTGTCACAATAATCAACAAAGCCGACGTTTCGGGGCCGCGCAGGGTCCCTTCAAGGCAGTATGTGACCACATATTGCCTTGAAGAAGGGACCCTGCACGGCCCCGAAACGTCGGCTTTGTTGATTATTATGACATCAGATGGTCAAGGCAAACATTTTGGTGAAGGGTTGGTGGGGTTTTTCTTCTCCTTTTGGAGGGACACAGGAATTTAGTACGTTTTTTTCTGCCGCCTACAGTGGGTTGTGGAAACTGGCAATTATTGTGACACAATTGTCCATTAAAAAGGACATATCTATTTAAATAATTCGAGTGCTGGTGACCTGTTTCTTCATTTCTAAATGTAGATCGCTTATCACAAAAGCAGGAATATATAGAGCAGATTCTAGTTTGTTGCAATGACTGATTTGCTTTAGCTAGCCCTACTATAAATACAGGGCTCATCAAAAAACCTACATAAATCCTTTATTTAAAGTGCAGATTAGAAAATAATAAAAAAAGAAGAAAACATTTGATAAACAAGACCTGCAGTATAAACTTAAGTAGAAAGAGGCATTACTAAAAATATAAATCAAAAGCATCTTTTCACAAAAACTTATAAAAACAAAATGAGAATTGAAAAGACTACACAAAGTAAACTTCCCTTCCTCGGAAAACATTAGTAGAAAAATGTACAATACAAGAAGGTGGTCCATTTGGTCATTTGAAATTAATATTGTGTTAGGCTTGCAAGTTGCAAATGTTAAAGAGAATCCATAACATTTAACAATTACCACAAAGAACATTGGTGCATATTTTATTTATGGAACACTGTAATGGAATATATTCAGCTAATAGGTTCTCAGGACAATGGAACATCACTGCAACATTTCTAGAATTGCAGTTGTATAATAGAAGTAGGTAGCATTTTCACATGGAAAAAAAAAGTCACACAAGGAGCATCGTCTGAGGCAGCAAGTTAAGGAAATACTACTTTCCAAAAAAGGGTAGAAGACATTCAGGACAACTGCCCCGTTAGCATAGAAAAAAAAAAAAAATCAATAATAACTTTAAAGATGGATGTAATAAATGAAATCCAATTGACATGTAAAAGAGAGAGACTATGTGGTTCCATTAGTTTAATGCAATACGATTCCATGTTCCCTGTCTAAAAAAAAAATAGACTGGCAATACATTTGCTCATCTGACTTGTCCTCAATCATATGATTGTTGCAGACTTGTCAACATTATTAATAAGAATCTAATACAGATGAAAGATTCTGTTCTGAAGATGTCACACGGTATCTCAATTGCTGCACACAAACTTCTACGAAGGAGCTGGTTATCCAAGCAGACCTTAGTTGCACGTGTGCATCTCTGGCTGCCAAAACTACAACAAACTATGCAGTTATCCTGTGCTTTGATTCCACTCCGTAATCTTTATTTGATATTGCTGAATATCAAAAGAAACATTACTCTAAATACTACATGTCAACAATTTATAAAACACATTCTATTAGGGACTATAAGCCAGGAACCCTTAAATTTCAGTTGCCAATAAGGGATAATAAGGGTTAGTTCTCTCACGGTTTTAGAAGACATTTAATGTTGATGCACACTTATTTTTGGAAAAGCAGATTCTCTTTAAGATTTACACAACACAAATAAATGAGTAAATCAAGTATTTTATGAAATGTCAAATACAGATGTATAAAGCTCTGCGATAATCATGTTTTAAAACTATAAAAAGGTAATGAATAATACTCAATGTGAAACAGCACTTTGTTCTTAAGAAAAAAAATACAAACAATAGAATTAAGAAAACCACACACAGCAACAACTTACCTGAAGATGCAGATGCTGGAAAATCATTGTAATGTTCCCATTGACATCAGGAAGGCCTGAGCATTCTCCATGCTGGGAAACCACAAGGATATATGCTTCAAGATGAATATTGGAGCAACCCACCCTCCTTAATAAACCCATAATATGGAGGGTGAAATCTTAAAAAAAAAAAAAAAAAAATGCTTCTTGATTCCATGTGCAGCGGAGAAAAATGAAAAGAGCCTTCCCAATGGTAAAACAAATTACCATCAAGAACCAAATTACTGGGATATGGCTCAAAAGTGAAAAGAAATCTGCACTTACCATAAGCTGTTCTTCCTTCTCTCCAGTTTCTTTAATGATAATCTCCACCTCCTGGTTCAGCCCCTCTACGCTATTCCGAAATCTGGACCCAGATGACTTTGTAATAGGTATAGTCATTGGAGTGAGTACATTCTTGGACATAGATGTCTAGAGAGAAGAATACATTTTCATGACAACACTCAAAACATTATATTCCGTCACATATATAACAGACATAAGGAGGGAAAATGTATAACAGCATTATACTAAAGTCTACCTTTCTGAGAATGTGTGTACATGTTGCCCGCCTCAAATCAGCATATCACATTCATGCATCAGGCACAATACTCTGTTTCTCTGCATACTGCATTTCATTTTAATTTAGATCTCACTTTCTCCTATATACAATATAAAAACAAAGTAGTCTAGCTGAGAGAAGGAAGCAAAAATAAAATACTCAAAAAGTATGTCCAAGATCTCTTTTCTGCTTATTTTATGAAGACATGTCCTGTAAATCAACAGAGTGGAACCAAGGTAAGTAAGTAGTGGGAACGGGATATGGGGTAGCACAGTTTAGTTTTATGGGGAAGTAGTAGGAAAGGCACATCTGCATTTTAAACTTCTATAACAATAGGTATGAGCTAGAAACAGGTTGAAGCTGTACACAAAACTATATTCTACAAGTGTAGTGGTTGTATATCATAAATAGTAGGAATGCACCGATACCGTTTTTTCGTACCAATATTTTCTTTTTGGGGACTCTGCGATACCAAATACCGAAAGTTCCATTAAGGAAGCCCAGCGGCGTGTATGACTCGACGCCCAGGCTTCCTGATTAGCCAGGAAGGCTCCATGCTCCCTCCTCACCAGGTGAGGAGCAAGCACAAGAGCCACCTTTCCGGCCAATCAGGAAGCTGGGGGGCAGGTTATGACTCGCTGCCTAGTTTCCCGATTGGCCAGTTTCTCCACCAATTAGGAAGCCGGATGGCGAGTCATTACACGCTGCCCGGCTCCCTGATTGGGCGGAAAGCCAAAAGGGACGAGGGAGCATGAACCCGGCTTCCCGGGCCAATGTAATTACTCGTCGCCCGGCTTCCTGACACTGGGAGTTCCGGCATTGGGATAAGTATTGGGCGCATTTGGGCCAGTACGAGTACTGGCCCAAATACTCTTTAATTGGTGCCGACACTAGTATCAGTATATCCCTAATAAATAGCATTTCATTTCTGTGCTGACAAATATGACATTCACATTTGAACAGTGCTTTAACAGCCAGAGGGCTAACTACCAAACAAAATGAATGAGCACCTTCATTTGTGAGCAAACTCAAAAGGCGCCTTGGCAAGAGCACCAGTCCACATGGTAAAACGAGCCGTTTAAGCACGGGGGCTGGTGTCTGTTGTGTACTGGCACTGTAAGACATTTCATTCATTCCTATGCACCGCAGCAGAACTGCAATACGTAGAAAAGTGCCTTTAGGGGAGCACTGGTGCGCTGCAGAAAAAAAAAAAAGCACGTTTGCAGTTTTCCACAACCCACCTCAAGGGCAGTATTGTTCTGTGAACAAGGCACTTGTTGTGAGCCTGCATTGATCAGGTGACGGAAAAAAACAGGTCACCGCACATGGTGTGAATGAGCCCTTAAATTCTAACTTTCTCTTCCTATAACTTTTACAAATGTCAATGCCTATCTGTAAAACACTTGACTGTCTCAGTAGGCAGTCCTTGGTGATACAGATTAACCTAAAAAAATTTGCGATACCATATTGTAAGCTTCCAATTATTTATTACAACATCGCAATATCAAACCCTCACCCACCAAGTTTGTGTGACTGCCTAAGCAGCTCTCAAGCTCATCCACAAACTGAATTGTAGACTGGAAGATCTTTGGGTAAAGCAGATACTTAAAATGTCAATTTCAGAATTCGTCATAGTATGCAATATATATTATTATATATTTTTCCCTCCCCCACCCTGCAGACTGTTCAGCAAAAGTGACAGATAGGACCAAATATTAGGGCCGGTGCGTCTTTTGTCAACTTATGCAAGCCCCCCAAAAAAAGAAAATCTTATACAGTTCAACCTATGAATGCCTCTCAATGTCAATGCCATCAGTTTGACAAGCTTCTTAGATCATTCAGGATTTATTGACGGGTGCCTCTGCCCGTCAGTATACCTCCTTCCCACCTGCATTTGACCAGCTCCAAGTTGATTTTGCATTCCTATAGATTTCAGGCATGCTTACAATGGTCAATTTGTATTCATGTTTTAAACCTTTTTTTCAAAAGAAAGAAAATGCTGCTGCTGTCACTGTTGGGTAAAGTTAGACTTGAATTCTTTTAGTAAGGATTTGAAGTTAGTTGCTTATGTAAAAAAACAACACTGTTATCCTATTACAGAAAGTGGGGGAAAAAAACAGAACTACTGGAAGGATGAACAGAAGTTAAACTATGTTACAGGGTGACTTAAAACTTGTGTGATAATGCTATTGACTATCATATATGCAACCTCTGCCTCTGCCCAGTTTCACTTTAAAGATTGTTATAGTAACAAATTCTTGCATTGCCTGGGCATGTGTGGTAATACTGGTAATGGTAATTGAGCGGAGCTGCTGGATAGTAACCACCCTATCTCAGCAGAAACATTAGCATTAGGCCTAAACATTTACCCCTGCTGTTTATCCAAAACAAATCATCTCATTAGCTGTTCAGGAGCCAAAGCAGGCACCGTAAGCCTGAAAGATCAGCTGGTGTGCAGGAGATCATTAGGATTTCATAAAAAAGACGCCTGAAAAGTTGCAAAGCCAAGAAATAATATACAAATCTGGCACAGCTACAATTTGAAAGTTTGTAAATTGAGAAAAGAGTGTCTAACTCCGATTCTGTTATCTAGCCAAAGGAGAGTGCCAGTGTCACAGATTGGGCTTTATGCAAGTAGCAGCTGGTAACCTGCATCAGGGGCTTATGTGTATGGTAAATCTGTGGCACCCAGCAGGGAGTAAGCACTTTTCAAATGCAGAGTAGAAAAGACTTAGCATCTCTTGGGGCCCACTACTTCTGTTTTTTTTGGGGGGGGGATAAAAACACAGTTCAGATGTTTAATATATCAGCTTATCCTGAAACACACTGACACAAAAGGCTATGTGCATAACAACTGTGAAATCACTTAGTTGGTGAAAGAGGAGCATAGCAATGAGTTATATGCATATTCTATTAAGTTTCTGCTTCTATAGGCCTGATGCTGTTTAAATGAATGATTGTACAGGAGCCTCTAACTTTCTGTTAAGCTACTTGTTTTCCAAAACTTAACTGTTTAACAAATCATGCCAAACATTAAAGGATGTCTTCACTTTTATTAAAATTGTCCTTTAAATGTTCCCCCCACACCAGGCACCTTCCTAAATACTTACCTTTAGCCACAAGTCCAGACTGGTAATGCAGCGCAACAAAAAAAAAGTCTCAGGCCCATCCAGCTCCTACCACACATGAGCACCGCGTGGCCTATTCATCCCTATGAGCGCTCCAGAGAACTTAGCGAGCAGTGGGACCTGAACACGGCCACTGTCTTCGGGCAGGAGAAGTTGGCAGCAAGCCTGAAGGTAAGCATTTAAGTGGGCTGCTTCTCAGTGAGGTGAAGGAGGGACAATTAAAAAGGACAACTTCGTTAAAAATTTATTTGCTGGGGAATGGAAATAAAACCTGCACCCTGCACAGGCAAAGCTCATGTTTTTAAGCTCCCAGAACAAATTACAATGCATCCTCAAATTCTAGTAAGGATAGCACAGAACAATGAATGACTCCTTCAAACCGACAAATGGTAATGGTTTATTTTACTAAGCCTGGCCACAGATGAGCAGATATCTCCCAGAGAATTATGATCTACAAAAGCACCAATGGGTGCACACGTTACATGTACATAGCAATGTACAAAAAACAGAGACCTACTAAGGCCGCATTCACACCTAAGCAACACCTATTAGGCCTGTCTTTTTTTAGCGTTTTTTGCAAGCCGATTTTGGCACATTCATATGAATTGGGAAAATCTACATAAAATGCAGACAAAGACGTGCAAAAATAATCAAAACACGCATTTTCAATGGAGTCTATTAGGGACAAAACGCGCTGAAATCTGCCCCATAGTAGCTCATAGTACTAGTTTGCGTGACAGGTTTTTTTTCTGCTTGCAACAAAATGCAAAGATGTGAGCAGGGGGCCATAGAAAATAATGGGATTCCTGGGGTTGAGCGATTTGTCGCGCTGAATCAGCTGCAACAATACGCCTAGGTGTGAACGGGCCTTAGAGAGAGTTATCCCATTACGTCAGGAAATAACCTATGTGACAGTAAGCACTTGTAATTGTCAGAGGTTCCTGGCATCTTCCAACAGTTGTAAGCATTGGTTTATAACTGGAACTATTTGTTTTTAATCAAACAGTGTATGACCAGCCGATGACTTCGCAATGAACTTGGTATAATTAATATTGGAAAATTAGGATTTTAATTATACCACTCAAAACCTACTGGGCAGCACAACTCCTCACCTGGTTAATTGCCGTGTGGTTGCCGTGAAAAGGAGACTGTCTGTCCTTATCCCGATGGTGTCTGCTGCTGTGTTTACTTCTTTGAAGTTGCTGACGTAACTTGGCAATCTAAGGATGGAACAATACAGTAATCATAATGTAAGTACGTAAACAAAAAGGTGTATCTACAGTCAAAAAATACTAAACCTTTCATGTTGTAAACACAATTAATGAAAAGCACAACATTAAATAGAGACAAACAGAGCCAATTAAAGGCTATTACTTTGTCTGAGCTGGCATATCGATTAAAATAAACCCATTATGATCAGAAACTGGCAGCTGCCATTGCTGCCATTCCTCTGAAAATGCTGACAACCTGCTATGTTTAATGGGACACCGTCATGGAGGCTGCCATTACTGAACTTTCCTTTGAGACTGTAAGTTTCATGGATGTCATTCTGAAAACGGTCTTAGATGCTGACCTATTCTAGAGATAAGTAGTTCTGACACTCTATTGCATTATGTTCATTCCGGGACTGTGACTGAAACATACTAAGATCTAATACAGTCAGGCAGAGCATTATTAGAAGGCCTGCAATGGCATCCCTCATACTTCTTTCTTGACAGTCACTTTAACTCTTACCTCAACTCTCTTGGAATTCTCAGGAATTTAAAAGCAATTGAACACGAGGATCAGTACAAAAGCCAGACAAACTAACATAATCTAAAAGAGGCCTTTAACACCTTCACAACCAGTGACATACATAGTACGTCACTGGCAGCAGGCCCGTTTAAAACAGACTCCCGGATCTGTTTACATTTATAGAGACGGCAGCTGGCTTTCCAATAGAAGCGATTCTGGCAAATCAGCTGTAGCAGGATCACTTCTATGGGGCGGTAAACAAACCCCCCTTATTTCTCTTTTGACAATGGCCATGTTTACTAAGTGCAGATTACTAGCTCTCCTATTACTTCCTGGATTACTAGCACATGCGACTAGACATGTGGCCATGCACATCATCTCATGTGAGGAAAATGCCTTTCCCCGAGATTACAGATGAATTTCCCAGCAATGCTCTGCTGATGACAAGGCAATCCCAGTGTGCATTGGTTTGCCAAACTGAAGTCATTGCCCTTTCAAAGCAGGAAGTGAATGTTCTGCAATAATCACAGCATTTTACACCTGACATGTCTATGTTATTATTAAATCATACATAGAGGGATGCATTGGTAGAATTAGATGTTTGAGTGTAAAGGTCCGCTTTAATGGTTTGTATCTAGATTTACTGCCTTAAAAACAAGCATGCAGGATGAGTTGGAGAAAAGTCAGAATTTCTTAGCTCTGTACTTGTTCCAGGTCAGCCATTCAAGGTACTTAGGCGAAAGGCGCAACCCCCATAATGTTTTCACTAACATTTAATTTACTGTCACAAGCTGGAGAAGTACTTTACCAGGATCCTCGTTTTGGCTGGCCACGATAGGCCCCCCAGCATGTAATTTATTCAAATTAATTTTCGTATTGCAAAACTCAAAGCAATAAAAAAAACAAAAACAAAAAAAACTGCTAAAATGTCTCTTCCTAGACTTACAGTTCAAGTGCTACAAGCTTTGCTCTATTCATTCAGTGGGCCTAGGTGAGGCAATTAAAACAAACAGCCAACACGGTACATGACAAAAAGATAGTAAAAAAAAAAAAAAAAAAAA